CCTAATTTTTAATATAACTTTTATTTAAATATAGTAACGTTATTAGGACCTTATAATAATTATTTGATCTATTATTATGGGTTATATAAGTGTCGATATAATATCTTTTTTAACTACTCGCGGTACGGGGAATCTGGTTTAAAGGGCCGCATAGGGTTGTTGGATTTCAGAAGTGCTATATGCCAAAATGGTCCTGCCCTCCGGTGTTTTATGTATGGCCCCTGTCTGTACATAGTGGTTGGAAAATATTGTTTAAACGCTTATCTAATAATAATAATGCTAAGACTAATAATTAGTCACGGTAAATATTAGACTAAAATTTAGCGATAATAATACTAGGTTTCGTCGAAGGAAATTTTATTGTTAAGAAGCGAAGCGCTGTCCGAGTTTGGAATCGTCACTTTAACAAGTGAGTGCATAGTTACTTTCATCTTACACATAGATATGAAGTATTTTATATAAATTACGTGCTATGTGTGCATATTATCTGTATACTTGTTATCTATGCTGGATGAACGATTTTATACATGTTTTAAATAATTTAAATTGTATATGTATTTTATATCTACGAATATGTTGGGTAAAACATGGGTAGATGAATGATGAGAGATGAAAGATGATATGAGTGAACATTGGCAGCTATAGACTTAGTGCCTAACAAATAACATCGGCAGCTATGGACTTAGTGCCTATTGAATAAACGTTGGTAGCTATGGACTTAGTACCTGTTAGATAAACGTTGGTAGCTATGGACTTAGTACCTATTAGATAAACACTGGTAGCTATGGATTTAGTACCCGATGAATGAACTTTAGTAGTTATGGAATTAGTTCTTTACGAACGAGCATTGGTAGCTATGGACTTAGTGTCTGTCATATAAACCCTGGAAGCAATAGACTTCGGAATGAACGAATGCAGGATAAATGACTCTTAGGGTAGACCTTAAGAGTAAGGAAGATAATGGGGATGGGTAATTGGGTTGATTGTTTGATGTTTAAACATAATAATTAAATTATTGTGGGTTGAAAACCCTATGTACTCACCAGGTTTCCCAACCTGACCCACTCAGCTTATTTGTATCACAGGTGTCGATATGAAGTTACATTACACTGAGAGATTAAAGAGATGTAGATCACTAGTGTAAATGAATGTAAGTTCTGTTTATACTTATGTTTCTGTATTGATGATGACATCCCAAATATTTTAAAATGAACAAAAATACATTTCTTCGGAAATTCTTTGATAACGTATTTATCATGTTTTTCTAGGAACAAATTCCGCAACATTTTTTATTAAAAGAGGTACTCTGATTTTTATAAAGCATAAACAAAATCGGTCTTTTCTGGCCGTGAAAATGGGGATGTCACAGTTGGTATCAGAGCATTATTTTAAGCGAACTAGGAATAAGGATTTATTTCTAGACTTAAACTTAGAATGTTAAGCGATGATCGTGAGGAGTGTGTCTAATATATTTTAGGATGTACACCTGAATAGACACGGGCACTAGATCATTTAGGGAAGATATATAAATTGCTTTTATGTGCTAAATGATTTGTGATGCTTTATGATGCTATCGTTTGATCGGATCTATGGTCAGTTGCCGACCGGATCTGGAAACTTTATGTGTTCAGATTTCTACATGTTTAATTACGATATTAGAACTGGCATGTAATTTTTCGAGGTAATAAGGAGGAATACGCGTCTAAACCTTCCTCTATCTTTATTCTCGTCTCAATACACCAAACGACTGCTTTGGTGTGCAAACATCATGTTGAAGACTCGTAGTGAATTGAGTAAATGGAGGAAATGAGAAGGCTTACGATACTGAGTGGTACCTATCGGAAGATATCGTAAGAGTGATATCTTGCCTTTAGAACGCGTCTAAGAAATAATACGTCTAGTACGGGAGAAGTACACTTTCGATTAGCAGAAATAAAGATTTTTTGTATAATCCATGAAGTTATCCCATCGTCTGACATTTCCATCACCAACCGAGTTGAAGCAGAATTGATGATTGAAGATACGCATGGAAGAAGTCCTAGGAGAGTCTAGGGAAAATTATATGATTGTTTGGACACATTTGTATGTGTTAAAATTGTTTTTGTGATAATGACTTGGAGAACTGCGAGACAATACTTGGGACGAGTATGAGTAGGTGTGAAAGGTAGTAGAGGCCTATACTACCGGAAGCACAGGACTCACACTTGGATCAGGGAAAGTCACAAGGTTACCAAGAAGCTAGTTGTTGATTCCGTTTTATTCAAGTATATTGTTACCATCGTTTCGGTAATGATTAAGAAGATGATTGTTGTTTCGACCCTAGTGGTCATATCAAATTGTATCACAACTAGCATTCTAGCTAGGAAATTTTGTACTCTTGTAAACATTATCTACTGTAAACTCGTAACCCTAATTCAAGTTATGCTTGAAGTTCAACCTATGGAAACACATTCAAACCTAGATTCATCAAGTAAAGTTGAAAACCCTAGAAATCCCGGTTTAAGTCCTATATGGACTAGGGTTTCCTTATTGGGCCTAATGGGCCAATAAGCTTCCAATTTGACTATTTTGGGCTTAGAACTCTTAAATGGGCTCTCATTGGACCCACTCTCATAAGACTTAACCTTTTTGGGCCTTATAAGCCTAAAATGGGCTAGTTTATCTTTAATGGGCCTTATTGGGCCATAACTAATCCAATTAGCTTTAATGGACTCAAATCCATTCTCTTATACAAAATTGGGCCGTGAGCTATCCTAAGGGCCCAATGGGCCGTAAGTTTTCCTTATGGGCCTCATGAACTCGAGCCAAGGCAATAATGGGCCAAAGTGATTCCTTCCTCCTTCCTTAGCCCATTTCGGCCCAAGTAAAACAAAAAAAAAATATAAAAGAGTGGATAAATGAGGGTTGACAATTGTAGTGCCACCTCATAAATATAGATAGGGTATCCATGCACCATTCTCATGTTTCCATGCATGTCAACTCATCTCACTCTCTCCCCTCTCCCCTCTTCTTGTTTCGGCCGAATACACACAACACACACACACACACTACACAAAAATTCTCTCCATTTCTCTCTAAGGCCATCTCCTTCCTTCCTTCAAGGAATTCTCAAAAATTTGGCTTGGATTCAAGAGTCTTCATCAAGTGTTGTCAATATTTGGTAAGTCTTTACACATCCAAGCTTCATAACTTCACTCTCTTGTTAGATCATTCCTTTACACAAATTTTTTGGTGTTTATACTCTTAGAAATCTTCTTGAGTTCGAGATCTACTCAAGGAAGTTGCTAGGACCAAACTCTAACATTTTTGTCTTCAAAACCGAACCCACAAACCTAAGGTGAGTTCATACCCCTCTATTTTTGGTTTTCATATGATTTATGGGGGAGAATACAAGTAAATTGTGAAGATCTATGTGTATTTGTATGTTATGTGTGATTTCTTGTGTTTTTGTGGTAAATATGTGCTAAAAATGAAAGATATTTCGAGATCTATAGTTCAAGAAGGAAAAATATATGATCTAGGTCATATTTCACTTAACATGTCAAGATAAACTACTATACAAGCTTTAAAATAAACACACTACAACATAAAATTTGTCATTGGACCATTTTTGATAAATAAACGAAAGATGGGGAAAAAGATGTCATTCACGGTTTCTACAAGGATCAAAAGGTCAAAACAGCTAAAATAAGAGTTTTTATAAATATTAGGCTTTGTAAAGGACTAAAAATGTAAATTTTAGCCTAAGGGGCTAAAATTTGGGCTTTTCGGCTATTTAGGCCCAAAAATGTGAAAAATCAAATTGTAGGGGCTGAATTGGAAAGTTTTCTCAAAACAGGGGCTATAAACGTATATAAACCTATTTCAGGGGTTAAAATGGCCTTATTTATCAAAAGGGACTAAAAATGCAAAGATTTTGGATTTTGGGTAAAAATTGTAAAAATTGCGAAAAGTGTGGATTTAAATGCAAATATTTTAACTAAGGGGCTGAAACTGTCCTAAATAAAATTTTGGGCTTAAAACATCATTTAATTAAGTGTTTAGGTCAAAAATGTCAAGAAAAATAGTTCAAGGACCTAATATGTCATTTTTCATAAAAAGGGCTAAAAATTGCCGACTTTACCAAAATAAGGGGCTGAATTGGTCAAACTAATATTTTTAGTCAATTATGTTAATAATAAAATAATTGGGTCAAAATATACAAAATTTTATAACTTATGGGTTTTAAATAGAAAAATAACTATTTTTATAAATCTATGAATCGTTATAAAACAAATTGGTGATTATTACGACATATCGATTAAACAACTTCGCAACACTAATACTATACAAAACAAGTAAACATTCCAATTGTTGGGTTTGAAAGATTATAATCATGCTTATTGGGCCTTCATGACCCATTAACATTACTTTTGGGCCCAACATAAATAATACATGTTATTGGGCCACCTGTGACCCAATTACATGCTTAAGGGACCCTCAATGGCTTTTATATGCTATTGGGCCTCAGTGGCCCATTAGCATTGCTAGTAAGGTCCAAATGAATCTTATGCGAAATGGGCCAACGCGCCTTTCGTATACTCGACAGCCTTAAATAACATACATATATAGTAGGGCCTAGTAGTCCTCTTCTCCTCGTCTGTTAGGCTTACCTTCTCTTCAAGTAAACTAAAATCAGGTCATTAATCAAGGATAATAAAATTCATTTGGATTAAGTGAGTAATAACGGGCGACACCAATAAGTGTCGGTCATAGTCTGTAGTTGTAATCAAAGTCTCCTGGAGGGAGAGCGAGAGTTTGTGTATAGATCTATACGGGGGTGACTCCCCCACACCTAAGTTGTTCGCTACAGTTAGAGTCGACCAGTTTAGGGTGACAAAATCTTAATATCAATTCCGGTGTTCATTAGAATGCCAAGACAGACGAACTAGTCATTATCATGCATGGTTATAACGACTCACATAGAGATCCAATACCATCTAAGTAATCAGGGGAAATCATCATTCATTCGCTGTGACGATACAATAATACAAAACAATCATAATATTTTATCGGAAAACATCGGGTTTTCCGGGGAAACCAATCTTACTCACTTGTACTTTCAAAAACTATAATGCAAAACTTCTCATTTATACACGTTTTGAAATCGTTCACGCATATACTTACAGGATCATCACAACATTTTCATGAAAAGTCTTATTACAGAAAATATCTGATTTTCTGGGTTTTACGAACGACATAAACTATTTTACATCAAACATACTTATGAACTCACCAACATTATATATGTTGACCGTTTTCAAAATAACTTGTATTCTCAGGTAATCGTTAGAACGAGGAAGCATCCAGTGTGTTGAAAGTTTCTTTTGTAGTTGCTAATCACCAAACACTTTATATTTTGGGAGCATGTAATGTAAACCATGTACTTGATGTAAACAATGCCAGTTGTACTATGTAATGTTTGGTGATGAATGTGTTATGTTTCATGTATATAAATGTAAGGTCTGTTTATGCTTATGTTTCAGTATTGACGATTACATCCCAAAGTTTTAATATGAATAAAATACATTTCTTCGGAAATGCTTTAATAATATATTTATCATGTTTTTCTGGGAACAAATTCCACAACATTTTGAATAAAAGGAGTACTCTGATTTTTATAAAGCATAAACAAAATCGGTCTTTTCTGGCCGTGAAAATGGGGATGTCACAATCACCCTCTATACTCCACTGAATCTTAGCCTTTTGGGCGAGCTCCAACTGTGAGAAATGATCTAGATCTGAAATCTCCTTTAATAAAGAAACCTTTTTCTCTCTCAAATCAGGCGAACCATCATCTAACATTAAGCGCCTATCAATACACTCCAACATCTCTTCAACATTTTTCTTCTTATTAGAAAGTTGATCACGGTTAGTAGAATACCAGACCCTAATATTTTTTTTAAGAAGCTGTAATTTCTTCTTAAAAATAATCCAAGGGTTATCCGAACACATCCCCAGCTCGGGGTTCATCCAAGACTCCCGCACAACCTCATCAAATCCATCCAACAGAAACCAATAGTGAAATAACCGAAACGGGGTAGGACCATAATCCACACGATGCTCCAACAAAAGAATAGGACGATGATCGGGAATTTTTTTTTCTAACACAAGACCCATAAGATGAGGAAAAGAACCCATAATACCCTCTGTGACCAAGAATCTATCTAGTTTACTAAATTCCGAACCCCATTTGTCACTCCAAGTAAAGCGAGGACCACCTAGAGGTATGTCAACAAGATCTAGATGGCTAATAAAATCATTAAAAACAGTAGTTGTACCCGGATTAAATTGCGACCCCAATCTCTCCGAATCATCCCGAACCTCATTAAAATCCCCCATAACTATACATTCGACTGAAAATGACGTAATAATTCGTGAAATCTGATCCCAAAGTTCTCTTTTGTCATTAGCACCTTGTGGAGCATAAACAACTATAAACATGACAGCCAAACCTAAAGGAACCCAAATCGCCTCGATAGCAATAAACCAAGTAAAAGTGAAAACGTTTCTCTACGAGATAATTGTTTGATCCCACACAGCAAGAATACCACCTGAAGATCCCCGAGACGGGGAAAAATCATGCATAAAAGAAACATTACCCCAAAACGAGCTAACTGTAACCAAATCCATCGCTTCCATCTTCGTTTCTTGAATCGCTAGAAAATTTATTTTATGGAGGTTACACAAATTTTTAATCCAAGATCTCTTATCCAAACAACCCGCCCCTTGAACATTAATATAAAGACAATTCATTTTTGAATTTGCCTTTCAACGTGACCCTCAACTAATTCTTTTAATCGATCAAAACAATCGTCCATATTGTAACCCATAGCTTTACCCATTTCAAAAGTTTTTGTTAATTCATTTAAAAATGAATTTTTAGTAAAAATTCCACCCGATACACTTTGATTATCACTCATAAGGGAATTACATTTATTTGAGAAACCAGGAGGGTGAGAAAGATCCTCCTCTGAAATATTGATACCCGAAATTCTACCATATCCTCCCGAAAAACCCAAAGAATTGACACCTGGGCATGACTTATTAACAAGGTTTGGATTCTGATTTTTCTCATTTGTTTTGGAGGACGAGCTAGCAGCTAAGCCATCTGTCGGAATGGAATCAGATGAGTCGAAGTGTTGCTGTACAGCAAAGGAATGTGCAACTGTTGTTGTTGTCGAGGCGACAGCAGGTCCGACCACTGGGACAATAGCCATCTGGACCTCCGGTTGAAGCAGTTTTGGCGAATCTACTACAGGCCCAGGTGATGTGATAGGAGGGGAAGGGTCTTCATGCATATTTTGATGATTATTACCAGCTTCATTATTCCCAAAATACCCCTGAAAATGTCCATTAGATTGTCTTGGGGATTTAGAATGATGCTTTTCTACTTTGTCTAAATTTTCCAAAGTTTTGTATATGCCAAAAGGGTCTTGTAAAGCTTCATCCCTTTCATCTAGAGAACCAATACTTTCATTCTCATGTAAATTATCATATCTCCCATCTTGAACAACTTCATTCTTGGTAAAATTACATGAGAAAGATGGAGTCCACCTCGGTGCTTCTTTCATTCTAATGGAAACAATGACACCATTGACACTAACTTTCACCACCTCCGATATAATACCAAAGTATGATGTTAAAATACAAACACGGTTCTTGTATAAATTGTAACGCCGTAGATCCGGGCTAGTCAATTTAGAGATAATAGGGGTCGAAAACAACTTTTCGACAAAAGATTATTTAGAATAAATAATCTTAACCAAGTTGTAGAATATGTCTCAAGGGTTCCGTAGATATAAAGAAAGCCGAAATCCGAGTTATAACGAAGAAGTTATGGCCCGTCGAAGTTTTACGGAAAAAATAGAACGCCAAAAATGGAGCTCGTCAAAAATGGAGCTCGTATACGAAAGTTATAAATAATCTTAATTTTACCTACGCGTGGATATAAAGAACGTCAAAAATGGAGCTCGTATGCGAAAGTTACGGATTTTAGAAGTCGGAAGTGTGTTGTGCGAAAATGGGTGACGTGGCACAATCTTGGCCATTGCTTTCTGCCCAAGTCTTGCCACCAGATGGTGACATGTGGCACCAAGTTCAGCCATATTTCACCCTATAAATAGAACCTCTCCCACCCTCATTTTCTTCACACCTTTCTCATTCTTTCTTCTCTCTACACTCTCTCTAAACCTCCCAAAAAAAACTCCCCTAGCGCTAGAAGAAAGCCCCGGAGCTCGACGGCTCCGAGAAAAAGAGCTTTCGGCTCGGAAGTCCTGCCCCTGTAGAGCCCGGATTCTAGCCAAACCCCCTCGTAGGTAAGATACGCCTACCTAATTTTTAATATAACTTTTATTTAAATATAGTAACGTTATTAGGACCTTATAATAATTATTTGATCTATTATTATGGGTTATATAAGTGTCGATATAATATCTTTTTAACTACTCGCGGTACGGGGAATCTGGTTTAAAGGGCCGCATAGGGTTGTTGGATTTCAGAAGTGCTATATGCCAAAATGGTCCTGCCCTCCGGTGTTTTATGTATGGCCCCTGTCTGTACATAGTGGTTGGAAAATATTGTTTAAACGCTTATCTAATAATAATAATGCTAAGACTAATAATTAGTCACGGTAAATATTAGACTAAAATTTAGCGATAATAATACTAGGTTTCGTCGAAGGAAATTTTATTGTTAAGAAGCGAAGCGCTGTCCGAGTTTGGAATCGTCACTTTAACAAGTGAGTGCATAGTTACTTTCATCTTACACATAGATATGAAGTATTTTATATAAATTACGTGCTATGTGTGCATATTATCTGTATACTTGTTATCTATGCTGGATGAACGATTTTATACATGTTTTAAATAATTTAAATTGTATATGTATTTTATATCTACGAATATGTTGGGTAAAACATGGGTAGATGAATGATGAGAGATGAAAGATGATATGAGTGAACATTGGCAGCTATAGACTTAGTGCCTAACAAATAACATCGGCAGCTATGGACTTAGTGCCTATTGAATAAACGTTGGTAGCTATGGACTTAGTACCTGTTAGATAAACGTTGGTAGCTATGGACTTAGTACCTATTAGATAAACACTGGTAGCTATGGATTTAGTACCCGATGAATGAACTTTAGTAGTTATGGAATTAGTTCTTTACGAACGAGCATTGGTAGCTATGGACTTAGTGTCTGTCATATAAACCCTGGAAGCAATAGACTTCGGAATGAACGAATGCAGGATAAATGACTCTTAGGGTAGACCTTAAGAGTAAGGAAGATAATGGGGATGGGTAATTGGGTTGATTGTTTGATGTTTAAACATAATAATTAAATTATTGTGGGTTGAAAACCCTATGTACTCACCAGGTTTCCCAACCTGACCCACTCAAGCTTATTTGTATCACAGGTGTCGATATGAAGTTACATTACACTGAGAGATTAAAGAGATGTAGATCACTAGTGTAAATGAATGTAAGTTCTGTTTATACTTATGTTTCTGTATTGATGATGACATCCCAAATATTTTAAAATGAACAAAAATACATTTCTTCGGAAATTCTTTGATAACGTATTTATCATGTTTTTCTAGGAACAAATTCCGCAACATTTTTATTAAAAGAGGTACTCTGATTTTTATAAAGCATAAACAAAATCGGTCTTTTCTGGCCGTGAAAATGGGGATGTCACAGTTGGTATCAGAGCATTATTTTAAGCGAACTAGGAATAAGGATTTATTTCTAGACTTAAACTTAGAATGTTAAGCGATGATCGTGAGGAGTGTGTCTAATATATTTTAGGATGTACACCTGAATAGACACGGGCACTAGATCATTTAGGGAAGATATATAAATTGCTTTTATGTGCTAAATGATTTGTGATGCTTTATGATGCTATCGTTTGATCGGATCTATGGTCAGTTGCCGACCGGATCTGGAAACTTTATGTGTTCAGATTTCTACATGTTTAATTACGATATTAGAACTGGCATGTAATTTTTCGAGGTAATAAGGAGGAATACGCGTCTAAACCTTCCTCTATCTTTATTCTCGTCTCGATACACCAAACGACTGCTTTGGTGTGCAAAACATCATGTTGAAGACTCGTAGTGAATTGAGTAAATGGAGGAAATGAGAAGGCTTACGATACTGAGTGGTACCTATCGGAAGATATCGTAAGAGTGATATCTTGCCTTTAGAACGCGTCTAAGAAATAATACGTCTAGTACGGGAGAAGTACACTTTCGATTAGCAGAAATAAAGATTTTTTGTATAATCCATGAACTTATCCCATCGTCTGACATTTCCATCACCAACCGAGTTGAAGCAGAATTGATGATTGAAGATACGCATGGAAGAAGTCCTAGTAGAGTCTAGGGAAAATTATATGATTGTTTGGACACATTTGTATGTGTTAAAATTGTTTTTGTGATAATGACTTGGAGAACTGCGAGACAATACTTGGGACGAGTATGAGTAGGTGTGAAAGGTAGTAGAGGCCTATACTACCGGAAGCACAGGACTCACACTTGGATTAGGGAAAGTCACAAGGTTACCAAGAAGCTAGTTGTTGATTCCGTTTTATTCAAGTATATTGTTACCATCGTTTCGGTAATGATTAAGAAGATGATTGTTGTTTCGACCCTAGTGGTCATATCAAATTGTGTCACAACTAGCATTCTAGCTAGGAAATTTTGTACTCTTGTAAACATTATCTACTGTAAACTCGTAACCCTAATTCAAGTTATGCTTGAAGTTCAACCTATGGAAACACATTCAAACCTAGATTCATCAAGTAAAGTTGAAAACCCTAGAAATCCCGGTTTAAGTCCTATATGGACTAGGGTTTCCTTATTGGGCCTAATGGGCCAATAAGCTTCCAATTTGACTATTTTGGGCTTAGAACTCTTAAATGGGCTCTCGTTGGACCCACTCTCATAAGACTTAACCTTTTTGGGCCTTATAAGCCTAAAATGGGCTAGTTTATCTTTAATGGGCCTTATTGGGCCATAACTAATCCAATTAGCTTTAATGGACTCAAATCCATTCTCTTATACAAAATTGGGCCGTGAGCTATCCTAAGGGCCCAATGGGCCGTAAGTTTTCCTTATGGGCCTCATGAACTCGAGCCAAGGCAATAATGGGCCAAAGTGATTCCTTCCTCCTTCCTTAGCCCATTTCGGCCCAAGTAAAACAAAAAAAATATAAAAGAGTGGATAAATGAGGGTTGACAATTATAGTGCCACCTCAGAAATATAGATAGGGTATCCATGCACCATTCTCATGTTTCCATGCATGTCAACTCATCTCACTCTCTCCCCTCTCCCCTCTTCTTGTTTCGGCCGAATACACACAACACACACACACACACACTACACAAAAATTCTCTCCATTTCTCTCTAAGGCCATCTCCTTCCTTCCTTCAAGGAATTCTCAAAAATTTGGCTTGGATTCAAGAGTCTTCATTAAGTGTTGTCAATATTTGGTAAGTCTTTACACATCCAAGCTTCATAACTTCACTCTCTTGTTAGATCATTCCTTTACACAAATTTTTTGGTGTTTATACTCTTAGAAATTTTCTTGAGTTCGAGATCTACTCAAGGAAGTTGCTAGGACCAAACTCTTCCATTTTTTTCTTCAAAACCGAACCCACAAACCTAAGGTGAGTTCATACCCCTCTATTTTTGGTTTTCATATGATTTATGGGGGAGAATACAAGTAAATTGTGAAGATCTATGTGTATTTGTATGTTATGTGTGATTTCTTGTGTTTTTGTGGTAAATATGTGCTAAAAATGAAAGATATTTCGAGATCTATAGTTCAAGAAGGAAAAATATATGATCTAGGTCATATTTCACTTAACATGTCAAGATAAACTACTATACAAGCTTTAAAATAAACACACTACAACATAAAATTTGTCATTGGACCATTTTTGATAAATAAACGAAAGATGGGGAAAAAGATGTCATTCACGGTTTCTACAAGGATCAAAAGGTCAAAACAGCTAAAATAAGAGTTTTTATAAATATTAGGCTTTGTAAAGGACTAAAAATGTAAATTTTAGCCTAAGGGGCTAAAATTTGGGCTTTTCGGCTATTTAGGCCCAAAAATGTGAAAAATCAAATTGTAGGGGCTGAATTGGAAAGTTTTCTCAAAACAGGGGCTATAAACGTATATAAACCTATTTCAGGGGTTAAAATGGCCTTATTTATCAAAAGGGACTAAAAATGCAAAGATTTTGGATTTTGGGTAAAAATTGTAAAAATTGCGAAAAGTGTGGATTTAAATGCA